GTATATATGTGAAAAGGTAGGGGTAATTTAACCAGATAGTTTATATAAACTATGACTAAAAAAATTACTGACCTTGACTATTGAAAAGCAAATGCAACAGAAACCATACATGTAAATGAATGTCATGTCTTACAAAGTAGTTGTATTAATTAGCACATTAAAGTGCTATTAAAGTGCACATTAAAGCACAATAAAGTTATATTAACAGAAACCAAATCTAGCCAGTTTAAGCTCAAAGAGAAATAGGGTTAAGTGGGCATTTCATAGAATCTAAGGGTAGGGGAGCAGCTAGGCTTTGGGAACCAGTAGGAGCTAAAGGCTAGAGCACCATAGTAACCCAGGTAATTTTTTCTCTCCTGATTTATCAGTTCGGCCTCTCAGAGCCTACCCGTTTCATTTTGTCCTCTTGCTGAAGAATGTTGTCTTGGTTGGCTCGGACTGCTACAACAAATATACCATAGACTGGGTGGCTTATAAACAACGGAAGTTTATTTCTCACAGTTCTGAGGCTGGAATTCCAGATATGGGTGCTGGCATGGTTGAGTTCTGATGAGGACCCTCTTTCGGTTTTAGACTGCTGACTTCTCATTGTGTCCTCACTTGGCAGAAAGAGAAATGAGAAAGCTCTCTGGAGTGTTTTTTTTTTTTTTTTTATAAGGACAATAATCTCATTCATGGGGGCTAAAGCCTTATGATCTAATTACCTCCCAAAGGGTCTACCTCCTAATATCATTACATACTGTACTGGGTTAGGATTTCAACATGTGAATTTGGCGGGGTGGGGGGGGGAACAAACATTCTGTCCATAATAAATGACTTCCCTGCTTCGCAGGACAGATATTAGAAAATAGATTCTAAGAGGTCTGAAGTAGATCTCCTCCATTCAAGAAATCAGACAGAAGTACCTGGAATCTCAATTTCCCTAAAGAAGGGCTCATTGGCTCAGTTTAGGTCAAATGCCCATTCCTGGTCCAATCAGTTATGACCAGGCAGGGCATAGGATGCATGTGGTAGGAAGCATCACATTGGCTACTGTGATTCCCTGGAGTCTTCCCATTATAACTAAAGGGATTTGAGGCTGGGGAGGGAGTTCACAGAAAAGTGGAAAGTGGATTGTTTAATTAGTTCAGGAGGTGTCACCCCAGAAGGCTGTGGTGATAGCTAGCAAGAGGGTAGAATATTGAGGATGATTTATTGATCATGTATAGCAGGCCAAGTCCTTGTTTTGTTTTTTAACTTTTCTATTTTGCAGTGATTATAGATTTACAGAATAGTTGTACAGATAGTACACAGAACTCCTGAATAATGTTCATCCAGCTTCTCCTAATAGTAACATCTTACATAACCATGGCACATTTACTAAAACTAAGAATGAACATTGTACACTATTATCTAAACTGTAGACTTTACTCAGATTTCACCGGTGTTCCACTAATGTCCTTTTTCTGTTCTAGGATCCAATCCAGATACTAGACATTGCACTTAGTCATCACGTTGTCATAGTCTTTTCCAGCCGATGACAGATTCTTAGTCTTCCCTTATTCTTTGTTATCTTGACACTTTTCAAGTGTACTGCTCAGGTATTTTTAGAATGTCCTTCAATTTGGGTTTAATCTGATGTTTTCTCATGATTAGATTGGGGTTATGGGTGGGAAGAATACTACAGAGCTGATATGTCCTTTTTTTGACATCATGTCATGTTATCAACGGTACATGATCTCAGCATAACTTACAACTGTGGTGTAAACCTTAATCACTTGGTTAAGGCGGTGTTTGCTAGGGTTCTTCACTGAAAAGTTACTATACATTTGTAAACAAGTGTTAAAATCACCCTTGTAATTCATAAATATTTGGGGGGCAATACTTTGAGGGTAAGGAAATATCCGCTTACTCCATAAAGTTTCCCCCATCAGTTTGAGCATTCACCTACAGATCTTGCCTGCAGCAGGTGTTGCTGTGTCTAATGGTGATGTTACATTCCCCTCATTCCTTCTCTATTTATCCGTTGGAATTCTTTTGTAAAGAACATTTCTTCTCCCGAATTTATTTATGGATTCAATCATTTGTGTAAATCATTTTGGGCTCATGGATATTTACTTTATTTTGGGGGGTCATAATCTAATACTAACTTTTTTGTTGTGCTGTTCCAGCTCTGGCCATTTAGAGCTCTTTCAGGTTGGCTTTCGTGTCCTTTTGCCATGTAGTCATCCTTTATTATTTTTTTAAAAAGCGCTTTCACATGGTCAGATTTATCTGTATTTTCCCTGCTCCCATTCTAGTATCTTCCATTTCTTCAGGGAATCCTAGTTCCTTTTATTGGAAAATGGTATTTAGAAACTCAGATCTGAACGCTAGGTGTGCTGATGGCTACTAGGAAATATCTGTATGTATGTTAAACTATGTATACACATATTTCTATAGTTATTCTCATATCTATCTGCAAATATATTAAAATAAACATGAATTCATACTGATATCTCTGACTCCAGTCCAGTAACACAAGATTAGTTTTTGCCTTCCCCTCTTACGTATTTGTAATTTCATTCTCCAACAGTGAGGAAAGCCCCACCAGGTGCTTTTTCTGTGATGTTGTATTAAATTGCTCAGCTATGCTGTGAGGGTTATCTCAATCTGCAGACAAGTGATTGTCTGCAGGCACAAAGAAAGCAAATGGTGGAGCCAGTGGATTCAAAGTTATCTAAGTGTCATGCTTATACATTGACTTATGGTTAAGCCTATATGCTTAATATGATAAAACTATCCTTGCACAAAGTATTTTTAAAGCTAGTCTATTTTTAATATAGCAGCTTTTTTGAGATAAAATTCAAATCCTATAAAACTCACCAATTTAAACTGTACAATTCATTTCTTTTTAGTATATTCACAGAATTGTGCAACCATCAACACTATCTAATTTTAAAACATTTTCATCACTCTCCCTCCAAAAAAATCCATAGCCATTTGCACTAACTGTCCATTACGCCTTAACCTCCAGGCCATGGCAAACACTAATCTACTTTATGCCTCTATAGATTTACCATGTGGGGACATTTCAAATAAATGGAATCATACAATATGTGGTCTTTTGTGACTGGCTTTTTAACTTAGCATAACGTTTTCAAGGTTCATACACATCATAGCAAGTGTCAGTACTTAATTTCTTTTTTTTAAATGTATTTTCTATTTTTAGGTTCACAGAAAAGTTGAATAGAAACTACAGAGAATTCTCATATGCCTCCTACTCCAACACATGCACAGCCTCTGTCACTCTCAACATCCTACATCAGAGTGTTACATTTGTTACAATTTATGAACCTACATTGACATCATTATCATCCAAAGTCTATAGTTTACATTTGGGTTCACTCTTGGTGCTGTATACTTTACAGGTTTTGACAAATATATAATGACATGTATCCACCATCATAGTATTATACAGAATGGTTTCACTGCCCTAAAAATCCTCTGTGCTCTGCCTATTCACCTATCGTTCCCCCAGATCTTGGCAACCACAGATCTTTTTACTGTCTCCATAGTTTTGTCTTTTCCAGAATGTCTTATAGTTGGAATTGGGTAACATGAAGTCTTCTCAGATTGGTTTCTTTCATTCAGTAGTGTGCATTTGAATTTCCTCCATATGTTTTCATGGCCTGATAGCTTATTGCTTTTTTGTGCTGAATAATATTTCATGTCTGGATGTACCACTCACCTACTGAAGGACATTCTGTTTGCTTTCAAGCTTTATCAATTAAGAATAAAGCTGCCATAGAGCACCTAAATATATAAAGCAAATATTAGTGAACATAAGGGGAGAAATTGACAATTATGCAATGTAAGTGGGAGGTTAAAGATGGCTGTTCAGAGTCTTTTGTGTTTCTATATAAATTTTAGAATTATTTGCAAGGAACACAACAATGACAGAGAGAGCCAGAATTCTGCCTTCATACACTAATGGAAGAGACCACTGTGTAAACAAGGAAATAAAAATAATTTTGGGGAGTGTTAAGTGCTCAGAAGAAAATCATAGAGCAGTGTAGGGGCATAGGGGATGGTGAGGCCTGGGAACTCAGTTTCAGGTAGGATGGTCAGCAAAGTACTCTCTGGGAGAGATATTAAGCAGAGATTGAAAGAGGGACGGAATGCCCTCAGGAAGAGTTGGGGAAAGACAAGTCCATATAGAAATGCCCAAGTGGGTCGACTTGGCTTTCCTGAGGTACCATTAGAAAGTTGAAGCTGCTAGAGAATAGAGAACAAGAGGAAGAGCTGTGGGAGATGGGGTCAGAGAGGTGATTAGTATCTGTAATTACTTAGGGGGTTTCACCTAAATTTTATACATTCTCACAGTAATGTATATGAATAAGTGAAATCGCTGAACAATTGCATATTTTTGTTTGAGATTAGAGACTCATTTTGAAATCAGCATATCCTTTCTGTTCTTCGTAAACCTGTGTGCCAGTCTCAACTTACTCTTTGCCTTGCATGCCTCACTTATTCTCCTGGAGTCTCAGAGACAATTTTCTTTACATTTATGCAGAACTTGATACTATTTGCTCTAAGTTCAAAATTCATTGTAACCCACACATGAAAAAAGTCTATTTCTAATCCTATAGTTGCTTACACAAAACTGATAGAACTGGAAAGGTCCTCTATGTAGATTGATACAAGTTGTGACTTTCTTACACGATCATCTGCCGTTAAAGTTAGTCTCATTACTTTAAACTTATACATAATAAAAGTGACACACTTTGCTCTCCCCAAAATAGCACCACATTGGGAATTGGAAGATAGGAGTTCCAGTTTACCCACCACCACAGACTAACTCTGCGGTCTTGAGTATCTCTTAATCTTCTTAGGACTAATTTCTAATAATCGATTAAAAGAAAATGTCAGGAATGATTTTAAAAGGATTAAATTGTCATTATTATCCCCAGCACCAATTATAATATTTGGCACATGGTAGATAATCAATATTTTAATGAAAGAATGTATTCAATAATATTGCTTCTCAAGGGTGCAGTTAAATGCCTCATTAGACAACGTACTGAGTGATCATGACATTTTCTTCCCTAGGGTGTTTGAAGGAGGAAGGAAGGACCAAAATGGTGTGGTTGACTCAGCAAACATTAATCAAGCCTTCATATGTGCCAAGCTCTATACTAGGTACTGGAATTCCAGGAAGAAGTAAGAAGAATCTTTGCTCACAGGTATTTGTGTTTGGACCCATATATGGAAACCAACTACCTATTTATTGGTAAGTTTTCTGTTCTTCATATATTCTGTAAAATGTTAGGACTATTCGGAATCATCTGTATTACTGGCCTTTGAATTCAGATAAACCGTATAACTCTATGGTCAGTTGGGTTTAGTTTAAAGTATTTCTCTTCTGTTTTTTTTTTTTTTTTTTTTTTTTTTTAGTATTTCTCTTCTTAATTCAGTAAAGCCAGATTTGCAATGCATGAAGATCAGGATCTTCATTGGAATTATCTGAGAGTTTTTTTTTTTAAATAAATTTATTTATTTATTGGCTGCATTGGGTCTTCGTTGCTGTGCGTGGGCTTTCTCTAGTTGCAGTGAGCGGGGGCTACTCTACGTTGTGGCATGCGGTTGCAGTGACTTCTCTTATTGCGGAGCACAGGCTCTAGGTGCGTCAGCTTCAGTAGTTCTGCCACGTGGGCTCAGCAGTTGTTGCTCGCAGGCTCTGGAGTGCAGGCTCAGTAGTTGTGGTGCACGGGCTTAGTTGCTCCGCGGCATGTGGGATCTTCCCGGACCAAGACTTGAACCCGTGTCCCCTGCATTGGCAGGTGGATTCTTAACCACAGCGCCCCCAGGGAAGTCCCTATCTGAGATTTTAAACATCACCAATTCCTGAACCTCCTCCTGAGAGATTCTGATTTAATTGATCTGATATGGGCCTGAGTCTCCAGTAGGATGATCATTGATGATCCTCAACGAGCCCCCGATGTTAAATGCAGCATATTCTACGTAGGTACTTGTGGGTTTCTTGGAGAGGGAAGGTCTCTATTTTAAATCAGATATTCAAAGGGGACCGTGAAATCCTCTAGGAACGTTACAAGAACCACTGCCCAATAGTGTAAAAACACATGGAACACTGTATTTGGATAAGAAAGTGCCGGGTGCTTGGGAAGAAAGTGCTTGATGTCTCTCTAAAAACCAGTCTGATCAGAGTTTGGAAGGTGGTTCTTGACACTCCAGAAGAAATTTGAGAGTGCCTCCTACTTCTTCCCACTATGTTTCTAAGAATGACTCCACGGCAGAGGAAGGTGAATATGAAAGGCTGCAATATATCCAAGCGTCTTTCTTTTCTGGAAGTGAGTCATTACAGTTTCTTCTTACTGCACTTTCTGTTCCTTCAGAATTTAAAACTTTTTTTCACTTCCTGTGTTTTGAACGTTTGCCATACACTTATTGTTTGACATTATAGTTACATGTATTTGTTTCTTTGCTTATTGTCTGTTTTACTCAGTAGACAAGCAACATGTAGCCTAGGATGATATCTTATTACACTTATTTTAGTTTTCACTGGTGCTGCTTAGGACAGTGCCTGACATGTATTAGATGCTCATGAAATGTTTGCCAGATGAACTGTGAATCCTTGTTCAGTGTCATTTGCTGCTCTCCACTTTCTCACTTGGCTCTGGGGAAATTCTTGCAATGTCCTGTCACTGTTCCCACTCATGGATATTTCTGGCTGAGACAATTCCAACAGAAGGGATATTTCAGAATATGGAATAAGCAGATAAATATATATAGCAGCACAACTGGCACATGGTCATGGTTGATTCCAAGGCATATATAGTTAGGTCTGGCATGCTTCCTAAATGATTGATTGCTTGGTTAACTGAATGACAGAGAATGCTTGACTTTTTTCCCGGGAATTTATGTATAATGGCTGGTGGGAAGCACAGGGAAGTTCAGTAGGAAAACCCAAAAATCATTGACATGGGAGTCCACATACTTGAGATCTAGATTTTGCTCTGCTGCTGTGAAACCTGGGAGCAATCAGTCTATCTCTGAGTGAGTGAGTTGAACCAGCTAATTTATAAGATCCTTTCCATATTTAATTTTTTTGTGATTCCAGCCATGTTTGCTTCCCAAAGCAAGGAAAGATACAATAAATACTGGGGATTGACATAGAATTCACATCTTTTGGAAACCTTTATAATAGTAACAAAGAGCAAAGGAATTTAGCTTACTGTGATTGGGCTCATTTATAAGCGGTGTATGAGAGTCTTTTATGATTTAGTCTTTAAACTACACAGCCCTTTTGATAGACTGAGTTTCTATTTTCTTATAATTCCTAAACTATGTCCAGCCCTCTCTGGGATGTTGTGCAAATTAACTCTTTTGTCTTGATACAGTTTGATTCATCCTCCTTGAAAGAGTGGAGCTAGGTGTTCTTTTGCCCTTTCATAGGTTGTCATGCTGCTCTGAGCTTACCCGTATTCTAACACGACCCACAGCACTTTCCACAATGTACTATTTCCCACTGGAGAGACTAGGAGTGCCTAGGGGAATGCATAGTAAGTACTCAGCCCACAGTAGCTGTTCCTTCAGTTTTGGTTAAATGAATGAATAACTGAATGGAGCATTTTTCCTATGGTTACAGTTAAATAAATTAATAAATCAAAATGTCCCTTAATTTATTGATATTGGAATAAAGGTTGATTTTGTAATAACACTATTAACAGTGGGATTATTCTTTCATGTTTGAAACCTCACTCCCCATGATCATCAAAACTTGACACTGGGGCTTCCCTGGTGGCGAAGTGGTTGAGAGTCCGCCTGCTGATGCAGGGGACACAGGTTCGTGCCCCGGTCCGGGAAGATCCCACATGTCACGGAGAGGCTGGGCCCGTGAGCCATGGCTGCTGAGCCTGTGCGTCCGGAGCCTGTGCTCCGCAACGGGAGAGGCCACAGCAGTGAGAGGCCCGCGTACCACAAAAAAAATAAAAAGAAAAAACAAAACAAAAAAACTTGACACTGAGGTTCAAATGGCAGCTGAACCATATGGTATGATTTTATACTTCCACGTAAAAGCACATTACAGTGTCAGGTAAACATCTCACCAAATGTTAAATAGAAGAAACCTTAACTATAACTTGGTCATTTCGGTGGTAAGGAGACATAAGCCCAGTAATTAAGGTAATTTGCCCAAAGCTCCTGATAGGGAATCCACAAATCTGAGACCATAACCCAAGCTTTCTCATTTCCGTCTTGTCCTTTAACCCTACTGCATGCACAGTATCTACTGCCTGTGCTTGGATTCCAAACGAAATAGGAAATTCCTGTTGCTTTTCCTCGTTCTCTACAGACTGGCCACATGTGGGGAATTTAACACGTTCAAGAGTGTCCTCTCCTTTATGTGCCTCACAGTATTTCAGTGCAGTTCCCTTGCTGCTCTAGGCTTCCTCCCTCACCTCTTGCCCTCTTTGTACAGTCTCCGAATGGACCTGCAATTCAGGAGCTGACAGGGAGTGTGAAAGGAGTGGAAAGGCAGCTGATAGAGTGGAGGACGGAGGGGATCAGGGAGTCTGGAAACCAGCTGGAGGCAGCCACAACCTGGTGGCCTAAGCCTGCAGATGTACATTCTCATGCATATGCTCATATGACAATAATATAGTGGAGTTGCAGAGCCTTTTGCAGTCATCTCACGAGAGATGTATTATAGGGTGCGAGGTAGCCTGGGTTTAAGTGTTGGAATTACTAGTGTAATGATTTATTGTAAGTAATCTACTGTAAAACAATTGTGACTTTTTGACAGGCTATTTAACCTCTCTAAAGTTCAGTTTCTTGATCTATAGAATGAAGTGGATGGGTTTCCTAGAGCTGCTGTAAAAAAGTACCAGAGACTGGGTGGGTTAAACAACAGACATTTATTTTCTCGCAGTTCTGGGAGCTGGAAGTCCAAGATCAATGTGTTGGCAGGGTTGGTTTCTTCTCATGAGACCTCTCTCTTTAGCTTGCAGATGGCTGTCTTTTCCCTCTGCCCAGAGATAATTTTTCTGCTGTGTGTGCATGTCTGTGTCCAGATTTCTTCTTCCTACAGGGACACCAGCCATATTAGATTATGAACCACTCTAAAGACCTCATTTTAACTTAATTACCACTTTAAAGACCTTATAACTAAATATTACATTGTGAGGACTTCAACATATAAAATTTGGAGGGACACAGTTCAGCCTATAACAGAGAGTATATCTTATAACCTTCTTAAGGTTGAAGATCCAATGAGTTTTTATATACAGAGTGCTTTTCAAAATGTAATTTTCTGTATAAATGAAGAGCCTGGCATTTGGCAATAGGAATGTTTAAATCCTTATTTTTAGAACTCACAAGCTGGATGGTTCTAGTGGCCATGTAAATGTTCACTTTCATGGATTTGTTACAGGGTGGTGATGTTTAAACATCTATATTAACACACTTCTATATATTATGACATTTATTTTTTCTTTCTCAGTATTTTATACACCTCCTTTTTTTCTCCATCTTTCACCAGTCCAACCTGTCCCCTGATGTGGGTTGCATAAGGTTGACAGAGTAGGAGTGGGAAGTGTGTAGACACAGATGGGATCTCCCTGCATTTTGCAACCCTAGTTGCAGAGAGTGAGTGAGTACACACAAGGTCTAGGCAGACAGCACCTTGACAACCCCACAGACATCTCTGTCCCCAGTGCAGCATGGAAACAGCAGCAGAGAGAGTTAAAGACCTTCAGGGTGAAGTGGACAAACATGAGGGATGTCGCTGCGGAAACCTTGTGGTCTGAATACCAGGAACCAGACAGAATGAAAGGTCTCTCAGAATTGCTATGTGGACAGTGGACATCTAGGACTGTATCACAGCAGGAAACAGCTGGCACTATCACAATAGGATAATTTGAGGAGGGATTGTTTACAAGACGAGTGATTACAAAGGTGTGGGCACAGGGTAGAGTGCAGGAACCCGGGGCTCACAGCTGCGGAGCTGTTATCACTGCTGGGCCCGATGGGATGAAGAGAGGGCAAGATTCTAGAAACTAGAAGAAAAAAGAGCACAGAAAGAAGGCTGATTCCATCTGGAAGCCAGAGGGAAGAGAACCTTGTTCATGTGCTCCATTCAGTTTAGGCTCCACGGCAGAGTAGAGTGGAGATGGGTCGAGAATGAATCTGGAGGGGGCAAATGGAAGATTTTGGGGAGTGCAACTCCAATTTCTTGGCACTACATGTGACTCTAGAACTTTGCCATAATCCTGG